AATCTGCTAACGCATGTACAATAGAAGGAAAAGAAATAAAATAGGAAGGTGAAAATACGGAAATATGCTATCTACCACTACTCCTACGGTGTGTGTATTACACACACACACACACACAATATTATATGATTTATTAGTAAACTACAGAAAATTGCTTTTAAACATTAGGAGCTATAAACAAAAACATACAGTCTATGTAGTTTAAGATTCGTCAATCAAGGAATTACATAGCTCATCATCGAATGGCCTATAAGAATCATCAACCAAAGGAGCAAGATTGGCATACATCTCCAGTTGAATCTCGAGTAATTATAGAATCATTTTTCTTTATTTTATTTGAAATGAAATAGAAAAGACTAGTTTCAAAATGTTGTTATAAACTTATAATGTAAACACACAACGTAAATATCAATGTTGCAACTAACTCTTCGGTACTGAAAATTATCATGAAAAGACTACTGAAAATTATATGTCTTTCATTTTAGAATTTTGCAAGGAACACAATAGAATCTTAGGTGAAATCATGAAAAGAGGAAGAAGAAGAAATACCCGATAATCTGGTTTAGACATTTCTACGAACACCTTTGGTGCAGAATTAAGAATCAATGTTTTTATCATTCTTGAAACTTGATTAACCCAGAGAAGTTGTAGACAGAAAGCTCCTAAAACGCAGAGAAAAAAAACTAGATTGCACTAAAGAAGGTAAACAAATGAAGAAATTCTGATATATATATATCTAAATCCAACTTTAATAAACCAATTCACAAATGAATAAAGAGAAAAATTCAGCAAGAGACGACCACAAATATTATACTCTGTAAGAATCTAAGTAACCACCACCAGAATTAAGAAACGAAATTGAAAAGTCTAGGGTTAAATCGTGGAAAGCACAAATGAGAAAAATCATGGAATTCTAGAAGATGTGATTCATGTATTACCTGGATTGGATATATAGTGAAAAGGTGGAAGAAGCGGATGAATCTGAGCTTGAGATGAGTACATCACCATCCGGAGCATCTCCGAGCCGTGCGTCGCCGGCTAGCATGTGTATAAGCAGCGTGAAGGGGAGTGTTTTGCTCGTCCTCTACTAATAATAAATAGAACGACATACTTAGTTGTAGGGTTTCTAGGAATAACCATGGAAAATCGAAGATGTTGCTAAGTCTACTGTCTACCCACCCTTCTGTAGAGACCAAGGAATTGCTTCAATACTTCAATAATTTAAGCTTCACATGGGATTGGGAAAAGAAACGAGTGTTGATGGGATAATGGATTCTGATGTTATCCTTCAACGTTTTCTAAATCGTTTTGTTTTCCTAGGGCTTTGTAATTGATAGCGGAAAATTTTGGGCTTTGGCTTCTTAATGGCCCAAAATAATTGTTCGCGCTCTTTTCCCCCCGATGGATATTCATATTGTTACATTAGCCCCAATTAAAGGTAACAATTATCAAACAAATGTAACACTCTACCAGACATGATAGAAGTGTTACATGATGCTAGTACTATTGTAACGATAAATTCAAAATCATTACAATAGACCGATTTGTTGTAACACATTAAACAATTGTTACAATTTTAATGTTACATTAGACCCGAAAATGTAGTAGTGATTAAAGTCATGGCAGCACTTCAGTACAAATTCCCTAGAGGCCGTATCACTCATGTACGAGGCCTTACTTGCAAATACGTATATCATCTTGGATGGTTAGTGTAACTTTAGATCTATAAATACTTCTTGTACTTACCCTACAAGAGATAAACCTTTTGAATAATAATAATAGTACCTTACGTTGCCTAAACATATCTGCTCCCGTAGTTGGAATTAAATTCCATCAATCTTGATCTTGTGTTTCAATTCAATACTCCCACATTTATTTCCGTATTCCATGCACTTGAATCGATTACTGATTAAAGATATTATAGTAGATCTTTGGGCTATGGGAATAAAACTCAACTTAACAAAAACATCCCCACCGTGCAGCGCAAATACATACTCCGTATGAGATACTAGTAAGATACAATACAATAGTATAGAAATGAAGCCAAAAATAAACCAAAACTGATTTAATATTAAAACTTAGCTATAAAAGACAAATTAAAAACTAAAAGTTCGTCAAGAAGAATACAAAAACAAAATTGACAGCGTGTAAACAATGTAAAAAAGACAACGTATTCAACAAGCACACAAATGAAATCTATCGTGATGCAAAAAGAAGTTATGAAAGGTACTTTGCCTTCGATTCAAACCTTATTACTCCCTCTGTCCCTAAATAAACTTCCAACTTTCTTTTTTCGCCCGTCCCAATTAAAACTTTCACTTTCTCTTTTTGTCAAAGAATTTGTGGTTCATAGCAATTCTTACACATTTCCCTCTCCTCTGCACAACTCTCTACTATACAATACCCACTATCTTGAACTGTGTGTCAAACCTATTTCGAAGTTTTATTAGGGACGGAGGGAGTACAATATGTTTTTAATTGGTAGAGATTGACGGACGCGTTTTTTCTTTTCACTTTTTGTTCTTCCTTGATTTTGTAGCAGGCTAGGGCGGCCGTCAAGCTGACCGACTTTATAGTTTATACAATTGCCATCAATTGGCAATTGTATACTATGAAGCACGGATACTTCGCTAGGGTAGCGTATCGGCGTATCCGATACGTTCCCGTATCCGATACTCTAGGATACCCGTACCGTACGTTCCCGGGCCGTATCTGCAATTTTTAAAAGTTTCCATTTTTTTTTTTGTAATTTTTTGAAAGTTTCCGATACTCGTATCCTGACGGATACCCGTATCAACTTTTTAAAAAAAAATCCCAAAATTTACTTAATAAAATTCTAAACAAAAATGAAAATCTAAAACTACATTTTACTTGGTAATCAAATAATGGGCCTATATGGCTATATCCGAATTAAGTCATTAACTCATACTCCGAATTGGATACTTGCACTTTTAATTTCAAGATTGTAGTTGTTTGACTTATTTCTCATTTTAAATTAATGACTTATTGACTATATTTATATTTGTGTATAGTTGTTTGCACTTTATATTTATATTTGTGTATATTGACTCCGAATTGGATAGTTGTTTGCACTTTAAATTAACTCACACTAGTGTATATGAGAAATATTATGAATTTTTCACTAAGTATCTTGAAAAAGGAAAATGCTTCAATGCAATGAATGAGTAGACATCATAGGATATTATATGTGTGTGTGTGTGTGTGTGTATATTTTCAAAAAAAAATCTATTTTTAATATTTATAAATAGACCCCTATAACTTTTAATATTTGTAAATACACCCCCATAACTTTTAATATTTATAAATATGGCCCCGTATCCGTATCCTACTTTTTTTGGTTTTGACGTATCCCCGTACCCGTTTCCGCGTTTCCGCGTTTCCGCGTACCGGTATCGGTGCTACATAGATTGTATATACATGAGCAAACCATCCTATGACGACTAAAACTAAATCACGTTCGGAATCTGTTACCTTAGGATGTTTTCTTTTGGTCTGTTTTCAGTCCCAGACTAGACCAAACCAGACTTAAACAGACCAGACCAGACCAGACCAGACTTAAACAGACCAGACCAGACCAGACTTAAACAGACCAGACCAGACCAGACCAGACTTCTGTAGTTATAAAATACACAGAGGCCAGACATTTACCAGATCAGACCAGACCAGTTCAGACCAGACCAGACCAGACCAGACCAGACTTAAACAGACTAGACCAGACCAGACTTAAACAGACCAGACCAGCAAATTTCAGTCCAAAAGAAAACATCCTTATTAGGTTTTTTAATCTCTCAATGACTTTTCCTATTTTGCCTTAGTCTTAATGTTAACCCAATTACATGATTACTACACAACTACATTCTTTAATTCAAATAAGATAAACAAAGTAGTTATAATATAGCATTTTCCTAACATTATAGATCAGGGCAGGGCATTACGAGTCGTCCGCCTCCATCCTTCAGCCTCCAGCTTCCAGCCACCGAAACGTCTGCCCACCTCCCCACTCCCCCTCCCACATAAGTGCATTATATTTAATGAGACTAAAAATTAATATTGTCAAGTATAAAAAGAAAAACACGCAAAAAGTGAAGTAACACCGTACAATATTTTTAATTAGACAAAAGTAGTGCAACTGTGCAAAATGCATCTTTTTAATATGGTATTTTCGTCATTGAACACTTAAACATAAACGCGATTTTTTTCCAGCATACTTAATACTCCATTCGTCACAAATCGATTTGCACAGTCAGCATTTTTTGATCAACCAATGTTAGAGTAATTTAAAGTAATCCGAATTAATAATTAAGTCAATCTTTAATAAGTAAAATTTACACATTCAAAAACTAAATTAATGTCTTCAAATGTGCAAACTCAAAATTAGAATGTAGTAAAAAATTGAAACTGTTTAACAAAATACAAAACGTATGATAGTGAATCAAATAATATCCGAGAAATTTCCGTGCATACGTACATAAGGACGTATGGCCTACGTACGTAGAACGGCAGCTAGCTAGCTTCTAGCTTACTCCGTATAAATTGAGAACATCTGGCCGGCCTCTTCTTCGCATTCGGCTAAATCAATTATTCGCAAATGGAAGACTTGGACACGAAATCCGAAATTGTGCTTATAGTTTTCTTCTTCCTAGAGCCCGTTTGGAGAACTCTGTTTTCGGCTTATCAGGCTTATCAGCCAGCTTTTTTACCAAACACGTAACTTTTACTTTCGCGCGCTGAATTGTGTAATAAGCCGAAAAAGTAAGGTTGGAGTTACTTTTCTGGCTGTATTGGCTGAAGTTACTGTAGAGGACCATTTTAGCTATTTTTACATATAATTTTTTCTTTAATTTATTAATAAAATATATTTTCAAAATATTTTTTTCTTAAATCAGCAGAATCAGCCAAAACAGCCACTCCAGCCAGAATATCATAAATTTCAGCAGAATCAGCCAAAACAGCCGATTTTGGTGCTACCAAACGGGCTCCTAGTGATACTTTTATTTTCTGCCTGCGCCGTTGGTATCTTCGTTCACGACTACCCGCAAGTGAGTGAAGCAGGACATGCTTGTTTATGTATAATAGTCATCGTATTGGTGCCCTTGTTCAGTGTCTTTCTTACTGACTGCACCTTTAGAATAAAGAGATTGCACCGAATCCGGGAAGGGCAACGAGAAAGCCCTGAATTCTCGGTGGACAACGTGGTCATAAAAAAAATCGACGTCACCGGCGGCAACACCCTCTCCGCCGCCCTCAGCTTCACCCTCCACGCCAACAACCGCTACAAAAGCCGCGGCATTTACTACGCCGCGGCCGAAGCCAAACTCTCTTTCTACTACTACGCCGACGGGTACGGCCGCGCCTCTCTCATCCGTCAATCGAGATGGTACTATCTCAATAGTGGGACCCTTGCGTTCGCCGCCATGAGCTCCGCCCCGGTCAACCTGCCGCCGGGAAACAACGTCCCGGCTGGCGGCATCGCCTTCTCTGCGGAGTCAAGGAACGTGACGCTCACCGGCGAGCAGGCCTCGCTGTTGATTGAATATAAGGAGAACTTGGATAGGTTCGATGCGTTCTTGACGGTGAGAGCTCTGGTGAAGAACGGCATCTCCGACGCCCGTTCTCGTTTGCTTGAGGTCACGTGCGGGTCTATGTCTCTCGTGCCCAATTCTACGCACGTGTTCACGTGCGCATAGGTCAGTCACAACTCACAAACTCCATAAACCGCCAAATTATTTCATTTTACTTATATGGAACATAAATTTAAGTTACTCAATTTTTTTGTTTATCAAAACTTCAACAATTCCATCCCATCCTACTAAAAATGAATAGTTTGTGATTCTGCTAATCAATGAACAATTTGCGATTCTGTTAATTATTTATCACTTCTGGAAGTACTATCTAATACGTAGTACTGCACTACTACGTATGTAATACTACATCCCTCTCAGCAGGGCGGGATATGGAGAAGTGACATACTCCCTCCGTCCCTGAATGTTGTTCCAATTGCGGATTACGAAGGTTGACCGACGATAAAGTTAAATGATTCCTGTGAAAACTTGGATTATTTTTAGGATATAAAATTTACATATTCAGAAACTACATTAAACCCGCTACAAAGCCTGCAAAAAATAATTCAACTTTTATAAAATTTTGATATAAAAAGTAAGAGTTTAAGAGTGATTTAAGTTGACCCTCGATAAGCGAAATGGAACTTCTTTTAGGGACAGAGGGAGTAGTTATTAAGAAAAATGAATTTATTTGATTGATATTGAATCAATTATGTAAGAATAAAGTAAAAAATGATTTAGAAACACATAATTCCTTTATTGAATTTGGTATGTGACAATCTTAGTGCAGTGTGACGTATCGAAAAGAAAGATATGACAATTTTAGAAGAACGGGGTGAAATATATAGATTTATTTTGATTAAAATCGTATATACCAAGAATGCTAAAACAAAAATATGCTATCTATGTTGCTTAAAAAAATTGTCCATCATATACAACCAAATAAAATAAAAACTTTATTTGTTTTAAAGGTATGTACTGTGTACGTATACAAAAAAGGATAAATTTATGCTTTTTTCCATCGTCAAAACGGATGACTTAAATTACTATTACAACATTCAGATAGGGGTAAAACAACAAAAGGATCACAGGTAACCGCCAGGCCTCGAACCAAACTTAGAGTCAATCACCTCCAAAAAACAATATAACTTGTTGATCCTATAATGGGCATAAATGAGCCAACAACGGTTAAAACATACCACCCATCACCCAATCCTAATGCAAGAGTCTTACAACAATAAAAGAAACCAACAGAAAAATAAACAGTCTAATCATGAAAAATAAATCACAAGCAAACAATAAAATTAAAAATAAGAAAAAGTTGCACAATTGATGGCAGAAGAAGAAACCCTGTACGCCTAAACCCGCCTGCGGCGGCCGCTCCTCGTTACAAACGACAGCAGAGGAAAGAGCCGAGAGACGGATCTTTCATTAGTTTGATCGAAAATAATCTTTTGATTTTTAAAATTATGCTTTCTTAAATGCTTCGTTTTCATTATCTCTCATAGTGAAATTAATAAACTTTTAATTATTAATAATATAAATGGTTTACAGCTTTGTCTTAAGCTTAAATTTTGTTTAATTTTTGCATAGTCTTAAAGCGTGTACATGTTACATTTTATTATATTGGTTGTACTTAACTTATTATAGCCTTATGACAATTAATATATGCTCTCCCCGCAATCTAAAATTAAAGACTTTGATTTTTTATAGGGACTAGTATCATACCCGTGCGATGCACGGGACAATAGAGTCCTTTAGGTTATATTTTGGTTATTTTAGTATGAAGGAAACATTGTTGAACGCCCCTTGCAGAGGGCCTCTCCAGACGTCCCCTCGGACACCTCGGACTGGGTATCGTGCTGAATGATTTGGAGGGGGCAAGACTGAATCTAAACGCCCTCTGTATTTAAAAGAATGCTACATTAGGCTCTAAACATTATTTAAGAAAGAAATAATAGGGATAATGAGTATATGCAAAAGTATGAAAGAGAAGATAAAAATTAGAAAATGTGATTTAATTGAGTATTTTTAAAGAAAAAACTTACTTAAAGGCGTAGAGTAACAAACTTTTAAATACATCAAAAAAAGGAAAGTATAACAAACTTTAAAATACGGAGACAGTATACAACAAACATGTATATGTTCTAGTACATGTACAATAATAATATAAAACACACATATAATTATATACGTAGTACGATATAAGGAGTACAAAACAATACAATAAATTGTGTAAATTACAGAAATTTCCCTAAATAGGAGTAAAAACGTTTTGAAATTCCAAAATAGGAGTATCATCTTTTTTATTCCTTGAATAGGAATAATCTTCCATGTTTAAAGCCTTGTAATGCCAAACTTGGCAGAAATTTACTCTAATTCAGGGAATAAAAAACATGATACTCTTATTTTGGAATTTCAAAACGTTTTTACTCCTATTTAAGAATTCTCTCTTTAAATTACACACTTGGAAGCATGTAAATATTAGCCCATATTCCTTCAAAAAAATAGCCCATATAAAATTAAGCCCAGCCTCTTTACAAAAAACCCTAAATGGGCATGTATAAAAAGTTTTGGGCTACGGTTGAAAGCATCAGTACTTGTAGGCCGCAAACCTCTTCCTCCTTGCCGACTTATCCTCTTTCCCAATTCTATCTATACTTCCTTCGAGTATGTCCTGGAAGTGTCTCTCCCAACTGCCCTAGCGCCGTTCCCATTTCTTCTGTTCTGATATGAAGAACTCAAGGCTTCCCTCCATCGTCAACGACTGAGCTTACAACGCTCTCTACAACGTACGAAGCTTATAGAGGTTGGCTTTTAAATTCTTTTAACGTTTTGTCTTGTATACGAATTTCATCTAGTGCCTGGTCCTAAAATAAATAAAAACTGTTACTATTTCTCAATTGCTTGTTCATCAACGCAATATGTAAAGTTGTGTGTTATATGAGGTGCATTATTTAATTCCAGTTGTAGTTCCTTGTTCGAAGTTGTTTTATTATTCAGTAACATCCCAATTCTCTTGTATGCTAGCAATTACGACAGATATAGACATATGACCCATGCGGCCATGCTCCTCATTTACCGCCTAAAATGGTACAAATCCGATTAAATACATTATACATGCATTGGGCTATTATAAGTTAATGTTCACATTATGAATGTATAGTTTAGGACGTTGGGTCAGTAAATGTATGCATTACTACCTAGTTGGCACTTTACTACCTATAAATCTATAATTGGTTTACATTGATAAAATATAAAAATACAAACAAATACTTCAACCATACATGTACAGTTTTTCATATGATAACTATTCATATCTTAGGGGCCAGTTTGGTTATTTAGCATTTGACAGTATTGAGAACATATGAATTTTTTAAAAAGTATTTGTTGTTATTCAGATATTATTTACCTAAAATATTACTTAAATAAAACATTTGGATATATAAAAATGTCACTAATTGACCATAAGTACACTTTTATAGTCATAATGATGTAAAGTTTGATCATAATTAGTCGTTAAGATTTACCGATCAAAATTTTGCCCACTATCTTTATTTTGGACACATATTAAGTACTCCGTACTATTTCATACATTTGCTAGGCATCTTATTTAAAAGAGCTTTAATGTCTTATTCTATGCTGGCTACTTAGGTGGATTGAAAGAGGATGTTTAAATTGAAAGAACTGGGAAATAAAAATGTTCATCTTGTTTCCTTAAGTTAATTAGTTCTAGAGTACGAAATAGAGTAAAAGTGTTCATCTATTGCTCTCTTATTTCCTCTGTTTTTTTTTTAAAAAAAACCAATAGCTGAGTAAAAAATAAACAAAGAGTAAACGATTGGGAACATATAATAGTGTATATATGTACTTTAAATACTTTGCTTTTGCGTATTGTTGAAAACTCGACACAAAATAACTCAGGCATTAAAGCATTCCATCTGTAAAGGTAGTCATAAATCACAACGTTCTTTATATATAAGCATAAATGGAGTATGTTTTAGCCTATTCTAGTATGTAAAGCTTATCAGTTTCCTCCTATTTGCATTTATCGAGTATGCTAATGTATTTATGCTTATACGAATCTTGAATAATTCATATCTCAAGGTGTCCATCTTTCAGATTTGAACAATATATTTTTATGATTAAGCGTGAAAAGAAGAAAGGTACCTCTGAATCATCAAAAACATGTCCTGGCATGTTAAACATTTTTTGCATTGTTGTTGAGTAGTAGAAATATACATGGGATGACCAACTTCGATCTCATTGCCTGTAAAAATATACAATTAGTTGTCTTGGCATTCACCTCCTTCACTGTGTTGAGCATCTTTCCATTTGTTCTTCAAACTGCGAAAACAAAATTGAAATGTGTAACTTTCTAAAGGTGCCGAGTCTGTGTTATGATTTAGGATTTAGATGATATCATATATCAAAGTTAAATTCTCAGCAAAATTCAATTCTCTGGTAATCTAATAATGATTCAAAGTTAAGAAATTAAAACAAAAGAAAAGGGGTAAAAATTTACTGCTATGCGTACTCCTGAGTTTTGATAGCTTATATTCCTTCATGTCTTTATGTCGCAGCATATCAATAATGATTTGAGTGGGTGATAACCGCATTGAAGAACTGCCATGTTAAGGACGTGCAGTAACCAATCCACTATTGTACTTGGAATGGCATTAAGGAACTGCCACGTGATTGCTTCAGCGAACTGCCAATTTGTATTTTGTATTTTGATTTTCTGTTGACACGTGTAATACTTTAATGGTCAGATTTGTACATTTGGTTCTCACGATTCAGCTTTTATATATATAAAGATATTACCCGAAATAGGACTAAAAAGGTTTCAAAATTCCAAAATAGGACTGACATGTTTTTATTCACAAAATAGGACTAATTACTGCCATGTTTTGGCAGTACATGACTTCAAACATGGCAGTATATTCCAAACCTGGCAGTAATTGCTCCTATTTTGGGAATAAAAAACATGACAGTCTTATTTTGGAATTTTCAAACTGTTTTAGTCCTATTTCGGGAACTTTCCCTTTTTTATAAGGTGTAGACAAAGTCTAAAAAGCAACATTGGTCGATCCCTAGTCCTGATCGTTTATGG